TAAACTTCTCTTGAGATCCTGTATTTCTCAGTTGTACTCCCCACAGAGGTAATCATTCTTAAACATTTTGTATGTTTTTGTGGCACACATATAAACAGAGGTGGGTTTTTTTTCGTGTGTAGATGTGTGCTGTGATATTTTAGTCACTCTCGTATTGATGGTCATTAGCAGCATCCTTCTTCCTTGCTTCCTTCCATTAAAAAAATGCCGCAATTCATAAAGTGCAGGAGATTGTGGGAGTTTTGACGGGGCTTTATTTACATGTTTTGTTATAGTCTTTGCTCTCTGCGAGGAAGCGACTTGGCCAGGATTACTATATGTTTGATTCTCGGCACACATACCACTGTGAGAACTGCTGCATCTCTATGTGATACACACACTGTCACAGAATGTTTCAGGCAAGTGGTCTCACTTTGCCCTCAAATCCCAGTACAGTTTTTTTATTTTGGTGAACCTCATTGAATCTCGTGGGAGGCTTGAGAACTTCCATTGAAAATCTGTTTACAGCTTGCTCTCCACAGTTTTATCCATCGATCGTCGGCACAGGAGGCACTTAGAAACTTGTTAGAAACGCAGGCACTCTGGCCCTCCCCCACGCCCACGAAAGCACCCTCCGCGTCCTAATTCAGTCCCCAGGTAGTTACCCACACAGCACAAAGTGTGAAGCACTGGTCTGCAAGCAGATATGTTGCTTTTTCTTTTTTCGTGCTTGGTCCTCAGGGCCCTCCCTCATTGTGAGTTTGGTCCTTTGGTTCTTACTGTTCTGATAAAGAGAAAAGGAAGAAAAGAAAAAAGTAAAGAAGTTTGAGCTGAATTTACTGAGGTTAAGAGCCATTTCCCCTTTGCTTTTATTGTGCCAGCTAGTGGTTAAGTTCTGTTGATTTTTACCTGATTTTTTTCATCATACCAGTTACACACAAGAGAAAACAGTTACGAATTTTGTGTTTGCTTAAGTGGCATTCAGCTGAGAAACCCTAGCTGAATGTGGAAAACGGTGCCCAGGTAAATGGTGCCAGGTAGGATGTACTCAGAAGGCGTACATCTCAGCCAACCACCAGACACCTGTGTTCTGCGTGTGTTTCGGCCACACCATCCACTTGTGGGGTCACAGCTGTTTGTGGGATTTCAGGTAGCACTTCCCCACAACAACAAAGCGCAGACTGATGCCACTTCCACAGGCTTTTTTCAACGTAAGCCCTTTTAAAGGTAATGTACCATATTTATTTTGGAATTCAGGTAAAATGGTCTATAGTTTTTATTAGCTTCCTGTCTTACCTGTTGTTGAAGTTGCTGAGTATCGCTCTCCAATCCCTCATCTTCCCCGTAAGCCCTGTAGTTATATCATGCAGTTCTGGGCCGTGTTGTGATTTTGAGGAATGCACGTCACATTATAGCAGACTTGACTAACGATAGAATCTCAAGATCAAGAGAATCTCAGAAGGAATTGGTTCTATCCATTCTGCCGTGGCCTGGGTAAAAATGCCCTTCCCACGCTCCTCTCCAACACCCCACATATCATTCCCCCTCCCACTGTGCGCCGTTCCTGACTGCTGGCCTCTCCACGAGGGTGGAGACAATCTGTCCTGCTCATTCTTGTTCCTCTAGTCCTAATGGAGTGACCGGCTCATTGTAGATGCTCAGTAATAATCTGAAATGCAACCGTGAATAGAAGGACTTTCATACTCATTTAGAGAATTCAGGCGTTTCTTTTGACTTAGCAACCAGAATGGTTCTTAACGATGTGTTTTGAATATTACAAATTATGCAGCAGAGGGGGGGCAGGGGGGAGAGGTGGTAGAGGAGGATGCAGAGGTGACAGTGGTGACGGAAGGAGACTTGCGATTGTGAACACACAATACAGTGTGCAGATGATGTGATGTGGAATTGAGCACCTGAAACTTGTATAGTTTTGTTAGAAGGGTCACCCCATAAATCCAAGGGAAAGGAAAAAATAAAAACTACGATTTATTAGTAAGAAAAATTTAAGGTGGTTAGTTGATACTTGTGATGGCGGAAACATTCTTGTTCTGACACTTCAACAATCAACTAGTTTTCACAGGTTTCATAATGAATGTAATAATGTAGTGGAACGGGTGTCATTGTTTCTAACTAAGAAATGATAAATCCTGCAAATATTTTCTTTAAAAATTCTTAAATTTATTGTACAAGGTTGGGCAAAAGTGGGAAAAGTAGTATTGTTTCATGGAAAATAATATAATAACTAATAGTACAAGAATAAACGGTTTCATGCACTTACAACAGTAAACCTACTTTGCTCTACTCTGTATATAATTGAAGACAAGTCATTATGAAGTGAAGGGTGCCAAGTTATTTTAAATTCAGATTAAAGGTGACACTTAGAGAAATAACTAACATACTTGATATTCAGCCTTCATAATGAGAAGAAGCATTTGGCCAATCAGACTTTTGCCAGCTATGACAGAGATGAATCTTTATTCCTATGACTATTCGTACTTCATCACTTCCTCAGTCAGTAGTTCTTTGCTTTCTAATTCCACTTGAATCTTTTTCTGTGTTGTTTAGTATTTTCCAGTTCCATATTCCCCAAATAAGGAAGTTTATGTTCAGGAGAACTGTGGTAGTTCCTCCAAAGAATCCACAATAATTATGTTTACCCATAGCATTACCTATTTAGTGTGCAGAAGTATTTTCTCACATAAGATTGAGTCTCTGAATATCAGTGTGGGCTAAAGGGCTCAAGTTCTACCCTTACTGTACAACTTTTCTCAAAATGATAGCCTTGATTTTCCATTGAGGGATTTAATAGGTGATCTTCATTAACTTTTCCATAAAACCTATGAAAGTAGGTATTTTGTTAATTACCCAAAAGGTGCTCTGACACAGATACCATTTCTGTATTGATAGTAAAAGATATCTGTATTATAAACCCACAGGAAGTTGTGGAATTTAAAAATGTTTACCTGTGTACTTTTTTAAAAAATTGAGTACTTTTATTTCGATATAATTATAAACCTATGGAAAATTGCAAGTGCAAAAAACGCTTTACCTAGATTCAGCAGTTATGTACACTTTGACCCATCTGCTCTATCATATTTTAGCTACCTTTATGTGCATAGTTTCTTTTTTTTAAGGATTGTATGTATTTATTTTTAGACAGCGGGGAAGGGATATAACCACCATACTGTTCTCAGTGTCCGTGAGTGTTTGTTTTTCTTGTTTATTCATTTTTTGCTTTCAGTTTTATATCCCACAGCTGAGTGAAATCATGTGGTTCTTAACTTTTTCTTAGTTCGCCTAGCATGAGAATCTCGAGTTCCATTCATGTTGTCACACATGGCAGTATTTCGTCTTTGCTTATGGCTGAGCAGTAGGTATGTACCACGTTCTCCATCCAGTCATCTGTCAGGGGCACTTCGTCGGTTCTTCTATCTTGGCCACTGTGAATAACGTTGCAATGAACGTAGGCGTGCGTACATCTTTGCAAATACATGTTTTCAAATTTGTCCGGCAGATAGCCAGAGGAGGGGTCGCTGGGTCACATGGTAACGATTCTTTACGTTTTTGAGGAACTTCCATGCTGTTTTCCATAGTGCCAGAGGACCCGAACAGACACCTCTCCCATGAATACATACGGATGGCCAACGGACATATGACGAGATGCTCAACTTCAGTAGCTGTTAGGGAAATGAAATCAAAACTACGGCGAGAGGCCGCTCACCAGCTGTCAGAGTGAATGGCCGTTATCAACGAGACCAGCAATAACCGCTGGTGGAAAGGCTGTGGGGAAGGGGCCCTCCTTCACTGTCGGGGGTGGGGTACGCGAACTGGCACAGCCGCTGCGATTTTCGTAATGGCTTCTGTTGCAGAGAAACTTCTGAGTTTTATAAAGTCACGGTGTTGGTTTTTTTTCTATTATGGCTAATGCTTTCTGTATTCTGAGAAATCTTTGCCTACCCTCAGTTCAAAAATTATTCTCTTCTGGATTCTTTTACAAGCATTATTTTTATATTTCCCATTCAGGTTTATTTTCTATTATAGATTAATTTTTGTGGGTGGTTTGAGGTGCTGTGATACAGAGTAGAGCTTAATGTTATTTCTATCTTTGTTCAGATCCACAGTTCCTTATATATATAATTTTTATAAATATGTATTTTATTTTATTGTTGTTCGATTACAGTTGTCTGCATTTACCCTCCACCACTCCCTGCCACCCCAGCCATCCCCACCCAGAGCCACATTTCTGAGTGTTTTTTTTCAAACAAGAAAAAAATTACAATTTTAAGTTTCTCTAATTTAATATATTATGCTTTTGGGAAAGTGGAGTATATCAACATTAATATAGAAACTTATAAGTTTAGAGACTGTAGAAGCAAATGAAAAGGAGTTTATTTCTTTATGATAATGGAAATAATTAGAACATTTTAATATGATTAAAAGAATATTTCTAAGTTTACTATTTCTACATTAATTAGAGACTTTGTGTGAGAACCTTTTTATTGTACACATTATGCAAGTGAACAAATAGTATTTTTAGTTTTTCAGATGAAATCATCATTTTTTATTTAACTTGCAAAATGATTTGATTGCCATTTTATATCTCTTTTATTGGTGGTCCAAAGTCTGTCAGGCTTTCCATTCAAAACCCCTATTTTCAGGAGTTTATGAGCAGACAGTTGAAAAAAAATTAACCAACCAAAATCTTGGCACTCATGATCTTGGTGCAATAGAAGGTACTTACTTTAACAAAATTTTAAATAGTCAGCTCTTTTTTTAAATGGTAAGCAGCACAAAGAGGAATAAAGGAATTTCTTTGGTTATATAAATAGAGAATATTTTTCCAGACAACTTACCCCAATTCAATTTACAAAGCAAACTTTTCCCTTCTAGAAATCATTTAAGTATGTATGGTCCTATGTTCCAGTTGCCACAAGATCTTGCCTCAAGACTTTTTTCCTTGCTGTCTTTCCGAGTGAATATTCTTTATCCCTCTTCTCGTTTTCTACCCATTTCTGTTTCTCTTAATTCTCCATTGTATATGTACAGTAAAAATGGCTTTAAATTTTGACTTTCTCTTGTCCCTTTTCTCCACATTGTAGTGCCTACCTATTCCAGCAAACAGCGCGTGACTACCTACCAATTGGAAAACAGTATGAACTCCGAGAGAAATAGTATAAATAGCAATGATTTTCTTGAAATTAAATGTCTGAAATCCAGACTTTAAAACCTATTCTGAAGAGCTGTCCCTTAAAGAGCAGGCATTTAGTTAAGCTTTTTTCCTTCCTCAGGCGAGTGTGAATGCCGGCTCGAGTACTTTCACATTCTGTTTTTAACCCACTGTCATTTGCATGGTGAACACTTAGCTACTATTGGTCCGTAAAGGTGTCTGCGGGTTTTTAGTTGCTTTTATTTCACTTCTTTAAAAAAAAAAATCATTTCCTGAAAACCTAGTACAGAAATGTGACCTGATGAAGGAAGCAAGATAATCTTCTGGAAATCTTTGCTTTTGCTCTACTCTGAAGGTAATTTGCTCCAGGCAAGAGATTTTTGGGTGCTGCTGAAATTTCGGAGATCTGGGAAAATGGGGTAATAGAATAACACGACACCAGCTCTTAAGCAGCAACATGTGTTGTGGTTCAAAGCCACACAAAGAAAGCTACTTAAGCAGTTGAATGTTTTGGACTAAGCGGACAAGTGTGGTTCGGCTGCAAAGGCTGCAGAGTAGAGGGAACTTCCAGCTTAGAGAAGCTGTGAAAAAATGGAGTCGTGGAAGATGAGCATCTTTAAGAGGCAGACATCACCTTGTTCTCCAAGCTATGAGAGATCTCTATCAGAACCTGCTTATGCCATTTCAGAGACAGGAACAAGCTTAAGGAGTTATCCATGGTGTGGTCCAGTAAAAAACAAGAGGAAGAAGAATGAACATGATGTGTTCAATCTGGGAAAGCCATTGGGTGCTTATCGGTGGCAAACACACCCCAGCCTTAGGTGCAAAGGGGACACAAGGGAAAGTATGCAGAATAATAAAGAAGACTCGGAGGGAGCACAGCAAGAGGTCCTGCCAAAGATGGTGGATAATGCTGCTGCTGCTGCTGCTCATGAGGTCCTTGGAACACCAGCGAAGAAGGTGAACCGGGCCAACCCCCAGTCACTTCGGGTTCCCTTCAGCAGATCTGTTTCAGAGCCAGAACCTCGCTGCAGAAACAGATTTGTTAGACCGTGGCCGACTTCAGTGGAGTCTGAGCAGCAGGGGTATTTCATCCGTGGCATTTTTTCGACTCTTTCCAATGGCTTCTCAAGGATGCTGAGTCTAAAAGGAGATTCCACCAATGAGCCAGTGAGAGAAGGTATATTGTGATGAATGAGGGGGAAAGGGGACGACTGATTTAATCATTATTGGAATTTTACTGGGTTGTGTTTTATAGTGAGGTAAACCATACTATTTGCTCAATATAAGCCAAATTTATTTCATTAGTACATTTCTTTAAAAGTGATAAATAGTACTTCAGAGACCCTCTTTAAGTGAGTAATGATAATATATATATAAATAGTAAAATGGGGATTTGGTTAAATTAAAGATTTTTGTATTATGTTATACTCTAACTCTATTTTGGAGCCTACATAAAAGTGCTTTTGTTTTGTTTTGTGTTTTAACCTTTAAGTTTTCCATGTTAAATGCAGTTTAGAGGGAGAGGTAATTGAATAACTTCTACATGACAAAGTTGGGGGTTAAGAAACAGAATTTTTACTATTATCTCTTTATGTGCTATTAGAAGGAACAATTTATAGCAGAATTGTTTTGGTAGGTTTTAAAAAGTTGAAATTTTGATTGGCCCGTGTCATAAACATACACAATTAGCAAGTGGAAGTAAAAGATGCAAGTGTTGAATGTGTTCAGGTGACAAAATTGAAATTTGTGTTTGAATCATTCCAGAAAAGAGTCATCAAATTTTTAAAAATCTTCCTTAGGACTTGTTTAATTTTAACAATGTTTTATGTTGGTGATATTATTGTTTAAGCCAAAAAAACCCTCTTACATTGTTATCCGATCGCCTTGGCACTGACTGACATGACCTGATGAGTTGTGTCAGTCATGTGTCAGAACCTCTGCTTGGTCGGTTTCTGTTGTTGAAACTTGAATGCTGAGACTTCGATACTGTCTCCTCCATCCAGCTGAGATTATTTTTGGACAAGCCATGACTGGTGGGAAGCTTCAGCTGATCTTTACTGCGAGATTGACCACATCAGCAGAATTTTAAACTCTAAAATTGAGAATTAAAGAAGTTTGTTATTGGTGTACAATTGAATTTCTTTTAAAATAAAGTTGGAGAATGCCCTAAGGGTGGCATATCAGTGAAGAATTAAGTAATTTTCCAAATATGTGCGTGCCAATAATTCAGTGTTTTCCCTAAACTCTGCCTTCCCTAGATTTTTCTTTGCTCAGTGAGTTTTAATGATACTGTCACATGTTGATGTCTTCTTCTTACTCTTGGCTTATACATAATTACCCAGAGTAAAATCTTTCTTGATGTGTCTTATTAACATTCCATTAAAATTTTTGAAAGACTAGATTTTTCCTTGCATTTCCTTGGATGCTAATCTGTGTGTTTCCTTGTCAGATGATCATACGCTGATGTAAAGGAGCATCCAGGGAAATTAAGAGTTTAAAATAAATTCTTAGGATCAGAGCCTCTCAGTAGTTAACATGTACACATTTGATAAAAGAAAGCTATAGGTTTAAAAAAATACTCGTATTTATAAATTAGTTAACTTTTAGTTTTAGCAAGTATGCCCAGCTGTCAACTGTGTGCGAGGTGTTTTGAGACTGTGTAACTGCTTTTTATACATTTTGGTCTGCTTAAGAAGATATGTTCTGTATTGAAACATCCTACTATCTTACCTATTTGAACCATAGAATAATTACGCATGCGGAGGAAGCACGTGCAGAGTTTAAGGTACTAGTTTATTATAAAGGACTTTAAGTACACAGTGTCCCTATCAGTCAGATCAGCAATTTGTGTTGAACAGTTACTATGATAACCGTCAGCTCTTCACCAGTGGGGAGTCAAGCTCTTCAGACGGAACTGCACTTCTTCATATAGAGATCGGAGCTGGTTCTCGCCAAGACATCTCCCTTTCTCCCTGGGAAGCAGCTCCCCCCGGCAGACAGTCTGTGTCCGTGGTACTCTAACCTTCCGCAGCTGTACTCTTCATTCTCTTTCCCTAGGCTGGCCTGGGCGGCCTGAATTCCTCTTACATCTGTGCCAGTTACCATTTGTGAAATTTAACCTCTGCATTGTTCTTTACATTTTTGTGGAGAACAACATTTTAATTCCTTCCTCACAAGTGATGAACGAAATTTGAAAATGCAGTGTAAATTACAGTTTTCATCCCATTTATTCATAAATCCTGTGTGAACGGCGGGGTTCCTAACAGTTGCTATTACAGTATTGTGGCAAAGTCTTGAACTATTAGAACAGAGATGTCTTTAGGACTATGTTAAGAAAATCAATATATTTATTAACTTGAAACCCACTAGTGTTTGTTACTTTTCTCCTTTGGTATGAATTGCAAGGTATGAGAGGCATTAAATAACATATTATGTATTCAAAGCATTTAAAACAGTGTTTGGCACTGAGCAGTTAGTTGTATGTCTATCAGATATTGTTTCTAAGAAAGTGAACTTAATTCAATAGTTACTTTTTTAAAATAAGGAAAAAGAGGATACCTGATAGGTGAGTTTTTATAATTACTGAATGTAAATCATCCATAATATTTTAGTCTTAAATTCTCTAAACTCAAACTTGTTCTGAGCATGTGCATGTTCTGAGCATAAACAAATAATCATTTCTTATAAGTGGACACAATTACCCTCAAACTTAAGGGGAAGGAATATATATATACTACGTTAGGGTCCCTAACCAGTTTAAGAGGGAAAAGCTGAAAGGCTTCAGCACTGTTCTGTGTTCAGCTCCCCAGTCATGCAATATTAAAAAATTAGCCCTGGCTGGTGTAGCTCAGTGGATTGAGCACAGGCCTGCAAACCAAAGGATTGCAGTTCAATTCTCAGTCAGGGCACATGCTTGGGTTGCAGCCAGTTCCCAGCGGGGGACACATGAGAGGCAATCATACATTGATATTTCTCTCCCTCTCTCCTTACCTTCCCCTCTAAAGATAAATAAATAAAATCTTTAAAAAAATTAAACATTGTTCTAATAGCCAAAAGTAATTCCAGCTACATTGGGCCCATGGCTAAGCCTGGAGTCAACATGCTTGCAATAGGGGAAAAAAATTGAAACACCCTTTGAGAGAGGAGTAACTGGACAGATTACAGTGTATCAGATCCACGAAGTTCCAGATAGTCTACACACCTGCCACTTACTAGCTGTGTGAAACTTAGAAGGAGCCATACAATTGCACAGGGACCTGGGATGTAAGCCATAGCTATCTAATGCATGTAACACTTAGAAAGTAAAAATTACCAGGAGGCAGTTTTTGTTCCTAAATGATTTTCCTCCCTCTATTAGTATGCATAGGTAGAAATGAAAGCTTACATAAATAAGGAAGTGGGGTTGAATGCAAACTGTAAGTGAAGAAAATATATAAGAAAGGGAATTAAATATACCTTAGGTAGTTCTCCTTTCTGGTTATGGCTTACCATATTTTTAGGACTATCAGACACACCTAGGTTTTAGAAGAGGAAAATAGGAAAAAAATTTTTGAAGCAAAAAAATGTGGTAAAATATTTCATAACCTATGACCCCGCTCCACCACCGCCCCCTCCCCCACAGTGAGCCAGGTAAGCTACATTCATACTATAAGACTCACCCCCTTTCTTCCCGAATTGGGGGGGTGCATCTTATAGTCCAAGAAATATGGTATATTATCTCTGTCTACATTGTCGTAGCATTAATATCCTCTGTTCCCAGTGTTGGTTATATTTTCAAAGACCCCCTAACTTGGAAAGTAGAAGACTTTATTTTTTTCTTCTTGATAATTAAAAAAAAATTCTCATTCAGTTTCTAACAACTTTTTCACTCCAGATCTTGTTGAAAAGGTCCTTTTACATTAACTCAACAATTGTTTATTGAGTCCCCGAGACACTGTTCTTGGTGCTGGGAACGTAGCCCATTATTTGTTGACGTGCTGCTTTCTCACTTACTCTAGGGAATCAGTAGCCGTATTAGAAAGTGAAGTTCTCTGAGTTCGCAAGATGGGCGCATAATAAACAGTGGGAAGGTCCAGTCGGCATCAGGAAGTACCTAGTGCGTCAGATCTTTTCTGTAATCGGACCTTCTATTTGTTTTACGTTATCAGTTAAAAGAGTTGTCTCTGCAAGTTCAGAGAAATGTATTCTTCCTGTGATTTCTCTGAAGAATCTGTATTTCAGCAGCATGCATAACACCCACCCAGCTAACATTTTCTTGCCCATCTGTTGCATCTAAGCTGTCCTGAAGTTGTTGATCCAATATTTTGTCACTCACGATATTTATGTTGTCTGTTGTTAAGCAGTTTTGAAGGTAATAAATAAGTCTTTGAAAATTCAGCCAATAAACTTTAATTCTTTAGGCTATTTATGTATAGATCTAATACATTTAAAATTATTCAACATATCTGTGAATTTCTTTTATTTTCAGTAAATATTTTCTGGGTATATTAATCTGCCATAACAAAATAGCACAGACTAGGGAGCCGAAAAAAACAAATTTATTTCTCACAGTTCTGCAGGCTGGAATTCTAAGAGTAGGGGGGTGGATGGTGCGCTCTCTTCTGAGGCAGGAGATCTGCTTGTTGTGTTCTCACTTGACCTTTCTTCTGTGTAGAGGGCCTTTAGTGTCCCCCCCCCCCCTTTTACAGACACCAGGCCCGTTAGGTTAGGGCCCATCTCACTGTGACCTCATTTGACCTTAATTACCTCCTTAAAGGCCCTGTGTCCCAACACAGGCACTCTAGGAGCTGGGGTTCCAGTGTATGATCTCTAGGGGGACACAAGTCAGTCCACAGCACCAGCGAACAAAGGTGCCACAAATTAAGAGGTTATTAATGCAGCGTATCAGCATAAAGGGTAAAATGTCACATGACACAGTTACGTACATTCTCAAACTTTAAAAAATTTATTACGGAGTTGAGTGGCTTTAGAGAAAGACTACATCGTTTTAAATTTGTTTTATTTTTCTCATTGTACATATATGTGTGTTTTTAGGATGGTTGAAATGAGTCTAAAATATGTGCTAAGTTGTCTTCCTTTGTCTTCATTTAAGACTTTCATATATAGTCTCATCCACTGACCGGTAATGCAAGTGGCAAGGATGTTGGACCGTCTGACAATCTGTTGCGCTGAAATGTT